CTGGCCCCTGTGCAGAGGGGTCAGACACCAGGACATAAGGGAGAAGGGGGATTGGGAGGAGGTCCCCACTCGGAGGGGCCAACAAAAACCTCCCCGGCCCCTTCACCTTCTCAAGTCCTGTTATCCAACAGGTAGGGGTCTTTGGAACTTGATGGCCAGCCAAAGGGAGATGGAAATGAGGATCACTCTGGGGAGTCACACGCAGCCTGTCACTCACCCCAGCCTGTCAAGACTTCTTCCATTAAGAAAAAACAAGGAGGGTGCTTGTAGTGGGGGCGACTCTCTTCTGAGAGGAACAGAAGGACCCATTTGTAGACCAGACCCATCCCACAGGGAGCTCTGCTGCCTGCCTGCACCTCGGGTTAGAGATATTAAAAGGCAAATCGCTGCTCTGGCGCAGCCCTCTGATTATTACCCCTTGTTAGTTATTCAGGTAGGTGATGATGAGGTTGTAGAGAGGAGTCTAAAGACTCTCAGAAAGGACTTCAAGGCGCTGGGGCGACTAGTCCAAGGTTCAGGAGCTCAGGTGGTGTTTTCATCAGTCCCTCAAGTGGAAGGGAAAAATACCCAAAGAGGGTGGAAAACACACCTGATTAATACATGGCTCAGAGTGTGGTGCCACCCGCACACCTTGGGGAATCTGAGCCCTCAGATGAGCACACACAAACTCAGGACAGAGCTCTCCCAGTCACACCTCGGGTGAGCGGAGTGGACTCCTGGAAACCCTTGTCCTTGACTTTGAATTTTAAACCCCCCCCAAAGGCATTTCCTTGGTCCCTGTACAAGGAAATGTCTGCACGCCCTTTGCAGCCTGGTCCCTGCACCTATTACAGTGAATTACAGTGAATCTGATGATACTTTGACTTCACAGATTAATTGATCTATAAAAGAGAAATTCATCCTAATTTAACTCTTCTAAGGGATTACAGAAACCAAAGTTGAAGGCTACACAGGATAGAAGATACAGGACATCTGAACAAACCATCAGGATTGCATCATGACCTCATGGACTACTGCTTTAACCTGCTGTTCCTGATATATTGAGGCAAAGGCCCTAGACTTAAAGCATCAGGCCACGTTAAAGCATCATTCTAAAAGGATCAGCAGATCTTCTCTGGATCATTTTTCCTCTGAGGACACGGGAAATGTTTTCCTTTCTTGCCACAGTCTGACTCTGTAAGTATTTCCCACTGTGCCAGTCACATGAGGTGTAAACATGAGCACTTCATCAGTGTTGTCTTCTAGAACAAGTTTCTTTTCATCTCCCTTCTTCTGAGTCTGTTTCTTTCCAAGACAGCTTTAAAGGATTACCTGACAGTTGAGACACAGCTGCCTGGATTTTCCAGCTCTTCCAACGAGGACTTGGGTGGGTACTCTCTCCAACCTGGGCTTTGGAGCTCCCACCTCTGTGGCAATGACAGTGACAACAGAAGGGACTGAGATCCATCCCATTGCACAACTGGTCATAAGGCACATAGAAGCATATCCTTTGAGGAGAAAATGTTCTCTCCTATGTCTTGCCAAAGCTTTTGCTCCACTATGCTCAGTTTCAATTTTCTGAGGATGCAAGGGGCACCTGTCTTCTCAAAAGAGGTGTCCCTGTATTGAGATTCAGAGTCTCACACTTGTTAGCTGTCATCACGAGTGGCAATGGGCCAGGGCCTCCAGAGGCTGATCAAGGCTAAACAGATACCTATCAAACACCGTTAGGAGGTTATGACATTGCCAGAGCTTCTCCACCTTTTTTTTTTTTTGTTTTTTAAGTACTTTTGGAAGGTTGTAGGTGCCCAAACACTGGATGTGTTGAAGACCAGGTTGGATGGGGCTTTGAGCAACTTGCTGTAGTGGGAGGTGTCCCTGCCCATGGCAGGGGGTTAGGAAGCAGAGAGATGATCCTTAAGGTCCCTTCCAACTCAAACCATTCTATGATTTTCAAGAGTAGCACATTTAATAACTATGGTACAGTCTAACACAAATGAAACCACTTTGATCCCTTTCTACCTCCTTCAAGACTACAACCTCTAGTAAACTTTCACTGAAGAAAGACCAAGAGCTGCCTTCAGCTATCACTGACTACACTTTGTTTATGGAAGCAGGAATTCAGCCATGGCATTGCAGTTGCACTCCAGTTTATCTACACAAGGAGCAAAACTGCTTCTGAAGAGGGTGGGCGGGCTCCTTGAAGACCTGCTCAGACCCAGGTGGGCAGCAGCTACCGTTCCTTGGCGTGGCCGTTGGGGAGATGGGTTCTGTGGGTCAGTGGCTCAGCCCCGTTCCTCTGGATAGAATTGTTGCTTGTGACGTTGCTGAAACATGGGATCCTGTTTTTCTCCTTTTCCTGAGTTTTTTTGCTTTCCTCATCCTTGTCACTTTCTTCAGTGTCGCTTCTCATGTCCTTTTCCATCTGGGGAAACACACAAGTTAGAGGCACACGAACAGAGGAGTCTGCACCAGCAGCAGCAGCAGCTCAGCCACAGGTCACACACTCAGCACCCGCTGCAGCCACTTGCCTGTGGCACACTGTCCTGCCACGTCCTGTCAGCTTTCACATGGCCTCTGGAAACAGATCTCCTCTGTTTCAGTGTCAGTGGAACCCCAGCTCTGACCCTGACAAACATCAGGAACTGTGGACAGGCTGAGAGGCAGCAGCACAGCAGAGAGGCCCAGGACAGCCATGTAAGGCAGGATGCTTTGTGCACCAACATGAACCTGGCTGGAGGCCTGTAGCTCGTGGTGCTCCCCAGGGGTCAGGGCTGGGTCTGCTCTCGTTCAATGTATTCATCACTGCCCTGGCTGAGGGGACAGAGCAGACCCTCAGCTCATCTGCTGGTGACACAGAACTGAGAGGAGGGGCTGACACACCAGAGCTGCTCTGCCATCCAGGGAGACCTGGACAGGCTGAAGAGCTGCGTGGAGGGAACATCATGAAGTTCAACAAGGGCAAGTGCAGAGTCATGAACCTGGGGAGGAATAACCCCCTGCACCAGGACAGGGGAGGGGTGACCTGCTGGGGAGCAGCTCTGCAGAGAAGCACCTGGCAATCACGGTGGACAACAAGTTGCCCATGATCCAGCAATGTGCCCTCACGGGCAAGAGGACCAATAGTATCCTAGGGTGCATGAAGAAGAGTGTGACCAGCAGATTGAGGGAGGTTCTCTTCCCCCTCTGTCCTAGTGAGGCCAAATCTGTAGTACTGGGTCCTTTGCTGGGCTCCCCAGTTCCAGAGAGACAAGGAACTACTGGAGACAGTCCAGTGGAGGCTATGAGGATGCTGAGGGGCCTGGAGCATCTCTGGGATAAGGAAAAGCTGAGAGCTCTGGGGCTGTTTAGCGTGGATAAGAGACACCTGATCAATGCTGATCAACAGCCAAAGGGCAGGGGGCAAGAGGCTGGGGCCAGACTCCTGTCCGTGGTGCCCAGTGAGAGGACATGGAGCAACAGGAACAAACAGAATCCAGAAGGTTCCATCTGAGCAGGAGGAGAAACCTTTTTGGTGTGAGGGTGGCCGAGCCTGGAGCAGCTGCCCAGAGAGGCTGGGGGGGCTCAGAGAGGCTGTGGAGTCTCCTGCTCTGGAGAGATTCCAAATGTGGCTCTCTGTGACCCTGGGCACCCTGCTGTGGGTGAGCTGCTGGAGCAGGGGGTTGGATGAGATGATCTCCAGAGGTCCCTTCCAACCCCACCATGCTGGGATCCTGTGGTGTGGTAGAAGGATGGGGGAGGCAGTTTGGTCCCTTCCAACCACTATGATTCTATGATTCTCTTTTACATTTTGCAGAAGGGACAAGGAAGTGTCTTCTGAGCACCCCTGGCCTGTGTGGCTGCAGGCTGAGCACCCTGCTTTGGACAGTCTGAAGGCACACGCTTCCCAGCCAACCAGCAGCTCAACACAAAGCCTCTCAATTCTGTCTACATTCAGCTTTATGGTCAGATTTTTCCTGACAGATTTGTAATGAATTAATCTAATTAATTGCCTTAGAAGGAAGGCAAAGAAGAAACGATTGTGATAAAATGACAGTTCAGAAAGCTGCCTGGCACTTGCTGGCCTCCCAGGCTGCCTCTGCTCTGCAACATAATACTGCAAATCTGGGGAAATGCACCCAGTGACACTGCTCACTGGGAGGAGTGCTCTGAGAGAAAGCAGCAAAGCCCTTCTGTGACCTGAGCTCTGGAAACTGCTCTGGGCTGTGCCAGTTGCTGCCCAGCCACCTGCAGTCTCAGTTTCCTCTGTCTGTTCTGGGGATATCTCTTGGATCATAGTCAGAAGGTCTGGTGCTATTTCTAGAGATCACTACACCCAAGACAGGCAGGATTGGTAAGAATGTGAACGTGCACTGAATTCACCCTGGCTTCAAGGACATCATAGGGGTAGGAGATGCCATGCTCTGGAACAACCTGCAGCTCGTCTCATTCTGGAATTAGCAGTGCAGGAGCTATGCAGGAGTCTTCATCTGCAGCACAAAGACCAATGGTAAACAATATCCCTAAATTTGTCCATCCATGGCTACAGGATGTGGCTGAGGCCTGAGACCCAGCAAGGTTCACGAAGGAACTACAAAGCTGCTTGAGCTACAGTGCTGTGTCTCAGGCTGCCTGTGGGAGGGAATGAAACTCACACTTCAGGATTTAGGCCGAGTTCTACTTACTGGGGATTAGGGGACATCATGTGAGAGGGTGGTGCAAATAATCCTGTAGCCAGAGGGGAAAACAGCAGGGATCAGAAAGGCCCATGGGAAGAATGTGAACTTCTGACTGCAGCAAGAATTTCATGGCTCTCCAGTGAGAGTGTCCTGTATTCTTGCTGATATTGCTTTGGGCTACTAATTATCATTATTAAAACAGATCTGCTTAGAATGATTTTTCTGTGCTATTCACTGCTCAATATGGAAAGCTCTCAAATATATTTTTTTTTTCATGAAATGTGGTAGATGATTTTTAGATAAAATAGGAAAAATTCTAGATGTGCTTCAGTATCTTTCTCCCTGGTGGTTCATTCCTTTCCACTAAGGCTATTTATGACCTCAGCATTTTACCCTGTCATAACTGCAGAGGTGATTCAGCCCACAGGAGAATTAGGAAAACAATGAAAGGGTGTCTTCAGCTGCACCTTCACTGTCTGCCCCATAAAGTTTCTGTTTCTTAATTTGCAAGTAGTTTGCTCTGTGCTGCCTTAAGGGAAGGCAGATAAAGAAAACGGGGACAATGTGGATGAGGAAGAACTTTTAATGCTTGTTCTCAGTTCCTGCAAGAGAGAATTCCCTGGTTGGATGCTAACAGAACACCTCCCCCTGGGCTATGAGGTCAGCTCCCACAAGGCACTGGCTTGTTACTCCTGGACTGTCCTCGGCACAGAGCCAGCCTCATGCCATTAGGTCATGTCTTTGATTTTGGGAAGAATTTCATGGGGAGCAGCAGTTTGGCATCACAGCAAATCCTACAGGCTCTGGTCAGAACGAGTGGAATGCACTTCAGTTTACACAGCTGCACCTCAGACGTGGCTCTAGGACTGACAGAGACAACCAGCACTGCCAGGCTGCAACCTTGAGTAGACTATCCCTTGGGTATGTCTGTCCACTGCTACAAAAGCAGTCCTAGATAACTAGTTTAGACAGAAATATCTACTCTGTAGACATGTAAAGCACTGTGAGAGAGTCCACACAAAACATGTAGGAATGATCTGGATGACAGGAGGGTGTAAAGAAGATATAAAGAGGATGGAGCCAAGATAGTGCCCAGTGACAGGACAAGAGTCAATGGGGACAAACTAAAGCACAGAAGTCTCCCTCTGAACAGAAGGAAACACCTTTCTACTGAGAGGTGACTGAACACCAGCACAGTCTGCCAGGGAAGTTGTGGAGTCTCCTCCACTCTTGGGGATATTCAAAAACCTGCCTGAACATGGTCCTGGGCAACCTACTGTCGGTGACCTTGCTTGAGAAGGGGAATACAGACAAGACTTCCCCAGGTACCTTCCACCCTCAGCCATGCTGTGACTCTGTGATCTTGGTAACACTGTAATTAGGAATTCTGGACTGTATGGGAAGCACTTTTGCACTGGCCTTGCCAATCCTGACAACCTTCCCTGTTTTGATTTCTTAGTATTGTTACAAATGCAAATCATACAAGACCAAGTGCTGGGATCCTTACTCAGATGTCACCAGCTCTGCTCATGGACATCTCCCCTGAAGTCCAGCCCCCATTTTTGTTGAATACAAAGCATCAGAAGTGGACTTAATACTGTAGTTATAAAAAAATCACCCTTTTTTTGGTCCACTTTTCTTAATAACATTGAGTGTTCCTTTCACCTTGCTGTTAGGAATTCCACAAGGGCAAGAAGGAATCCATCCCTGATGAACTCTTGTGCTCCCAAGCAGTCCAGGTGGACCCTCCCTCCCCATGTGACATACAGGGGACTACAAACTGTTCCTTACCGTGCCCTGGAGGATGAACTTGTAAACCATGTGAATAATGAGGCAGGACCAGAAGACATGGAGCAGCTGCAGAATTATGAGGAGAGCATTCACGAAGTAGTATCCAAAGAATGGCTGGAATATCTCCATGGAGTAATAGTAGGTGTTGTAGAGCACTCTGCAAGAGAGAGAATTATGGTGAAGGGTAAGTGTGTTGTTAGCAGGGTTGTAGTTAAGTCCCAGAAAGCTCTAGTCACAGAAAAACACCTTCAGGACAGTCACTTCCTTCTCATCTATAACACACGTCGGCCAGCTCGCAGTTCCCCACCAGCAACAAGCAGAGCAGAGCTGCAGGGGAAGGATGCCTCCTCTGCAGGGCACGTCAGGACTTTAACACTACACTCTGAGCTCCAGGGCAGGCCTCCCCCGTTGACCCCAAGGCAGTTACAACACCCCCGTGGCAGTGTGGCCTGTGTGAAGGGCAGGGGCACATCCTCAAGGACTGATAAGCAAAGGCTGCAGCACGAGCTTCAGCAGCCAGTGAATTGTCCTGTCTCTCAGAGGCAGCTCCTCCACTCCCCTGGACTGCACCCGACTCACGTGTAGGGGTAAATGACCAGGCGGCTGATCAGGAAAACAGCTGAGAAGATCATGAAGAGGCTGTCACAAGTTTTCTTCCACTTCATGTAATTGAATATCTTAGTTGGCTGGAAGGAGAAGGAACAATAAAACAGCAGGCCAAGGCAGCACATCTGCACATGCTCCAAGAGGCTCATTGTTGTGGTTTGAGGCTTGGAATGGGGGCGTGACCTTCCAGCAACTGGGAGGACCCCGGGGGGGGGTGAAACCATTGTATTCCCTCCCCTTCCCACACACACTCTGATAAGAGGCAGGGAGTGGTTTCTTGTTTCACTCCTGCCTTGGAGCTCGGAGAGGAAAGTTCTCCTTTCACTCCATGGGACCCTGGAACCATTTCTGAGGGTTTTGTATATTTTATCTTTTGTATTATTCCCCTGATCTTTATATATATTATTTTCCTTACCTCCCTTTTTCGTTTTCTGTTCCTTGTTGAACAATATACTTTATTTTCTTTTTAAAAAGTGTCTCTCTCTCTCTCTCTCGGGGGTGGGGGAGAGGCGAGTACACAGTTCTGTTCCGTGTGGGTCCTGCCCTGAACCCCTTTTTACACGGAACCAGGACACTCATGAACCAGAGCTGACCAAGGCCATCATGCCTCTGCCTGGCTCTGCAGAGCGTCCTTGGCTGGGTCAGATCAGTACTGACCTCCCTGTGACCACCACAGTGCTCAGCCCACGCTGCACCAGGTGAGAAGACCCGGGCTCAAGAGCACCATTGCCAGCTGGGCTTGCCCAGCACCCAAGCTGTGCAGCTCACCTCCAGGAAGCAGTCAGAAGCATCGTGGATCACCATCACCAGCGTCCCAATGCGGATGTAATTGGCACAGTATGAGAAGCTGATCAGGAAGATGGTTGCAGCATGATGGATGATCTGCTCCTTGAAATCCTGAGGAGAAAGGGGACAGCAGAGAATAAAATGCATACTGCACCTGCTGCTCTGGTTACACCACGCTGCTGCAGGGAGCAATGAAATCTCTCTACCCAGTCTCTAAGAAACCTCCCCCTATAAGGTCCTACCCATAAAACTCTTTTACCAAAAACCTTCTAGAAAAGCAGGCAGCCAAGAATGCAGGAATGAAGAGTTTATGGTGTGAGCTGAGGATTTCACAACAAGGAACACTCCTTCCACCAGAATGGTCTGATGATGGTGCAAATCAGAAGAGCCAAGGATTCAGGACAGACAATTCAACACAAAGGGAGCAGTGCTCACCCCCCTCTCTGCTCCTGTGCATGCCAACCTGTCTGCACCATCATCACTGGGGTGCTGGCACCCAGAACATGCAGCTCAACTGCCAGAGAATCATCTCTTTTCCCATCTCTACAATCAGGGCAGCCTAGAAGACTCCCAGAAGAATGATTTTTAAGCTTGTATTTTAGGTTTGGACGGAGAACTCTGCAGTAGTTTGCACCTTTCTGTGACAGGGTTTGTGTTCTCTACTTCCCAGAGGAGAGGGAAGTCAGTGATGGGAATGGATATTCCTGGGAATGAGCAAGGAGAGTCCTCCAAAACCTCAGATCAGCACTGTGCATGTGCTCTTGGAGATCACTCTCCGGGGTGTTCAGCTTGGGTCCTGTTTGTGCTCAGTTCTCCAAGGCTGCCACTCACCTTCCTCTTCACATCAAAGGGCAGGGTGAAGACCAGTGACCAGTAGAAGGAGAGCTCCAGCATGTAGTACCAGAACAGGGAGGGATGGAGAGGCTGTGAAAGAGGGAGAGACCATGAAATACCCATCACAGAATCACAGAGTGGTTTGGGTTGGAAGGGACCTTAAAGATCATCCAGTTACAACCCCCCTGCCACGGGCAGGAACATCTCCCACCAGACCAGGTTGCTCCAAGCCCCATCCCACCTGGTCTGGAACACATCCCG